ATTGAGTTATTGATACTTCAAGTGTAAAATACTAATATAAAACCTTGATAAAAATACACTTTTAAGTATTAATCAATAAATTGTATAAAACTTCTTTCAACTGTTGAGAGTTAGGTGTGTTTATAAAAGTATACTTATTAAATAGAAAAACAAGTTTGATTAATAATTAAAAAAAATTGAATTACCCAAATAATTATTCTACATTGAATGTAAGTTGTTGAACAAAACTTTGAAGTAAAAATTCAATATTAGTGTTAGTTCCGTATTGTATTGCTACTGTTTTTTTTTATTTTCTCTTTTGAAAAAATATCAAATTATATTCTAAAATTTCTTTTTTACTGTTTTAATATATTGATGTTAAGAATTAAAAAAATTAGATCCTACTACTATTAGAACCCAACAGCTTTGGGTTTTTACCACCATAACATAACATCTAATTGAACCATTCTGCCATTAGAACATAACATCTTTAGATCTTTTTATAACCAAGAGGAAACATCAGTTTTTTTATTTTATTCAAAAATTCTTTTAAATTATTTTGATTATTTGACCCATGGCTGAGCTTGAGTCACATAGCTAGTTATAACCTAGATATAGCTTAATAAAACTAATTAATTATATTCTTATAGCTTGTTTGGAATTAAATTATACATTGAATTAAATTTAATTAATAATTTATTATTATTTTTATATTTAAAAAAATATTAAATTGTTTATAATATCTATGAAAATGAATTGAATTAGTGATTTTAACTATTTTACTCTTAGTTGAAAATTTATTTTTGTTACAAAAATCTTCTTTTTTTGGTTAGAAGAACCCTCGTATTAGTTTAAAATGACATAAAATTTAAGCATTTTAAAGAAGTCATCAATAGACATATGTCATAGTAATTGTTTATTAAATATTTATTGAAAGATATTATAAAAATAAATTTGTTAAGAAAAATTCGATCAAAGGTTTTTCATTGGAATATTAAGAAAAAAAACGACTCTCCACTATAAGACGCCATGCATATCTAGGATTATAAACCTAACCAACATGCCAAGAATTTGATAGAGAAGAATCCCTTGATTTAAGAATTCTAGCAAATAAAGAATCATGAACATTATGTAGCCTCCTATCATAATAGAGAATGAAGTTGTGGTCTCACATCGCATTACTAGATCAATCCAATTGTGATTGAATCCCATCTTCAGTATAATTCCTCACAGAAAATAACATTCAACCTCGTATTGATTTTTTGTTGAAGAAAAGATGGAAAGAGATTGGGGAGAGAAGATGTGTTAGGAGGAAAAAAAGAAGGGGTGTTTTTGGTAAATAATTCTCAATGTCAATTAGAATTGAATTACTCAAAAGTGCCCCCCCTCTTATTTATTTTTTAGTCATTATTTGTTAATTAAATTTCGTTTGAAATTAAAATAAATACTTTAAAAAGAGAGTTTCAAACACAAAAATTGATTTAAAATTCAATTCTTAAAAATATATATTATTGAGCATGATTAATTCTAGTCAAGGAGCTTTTCTAGAGCTTTGGATATAAGAGGGACTAATTATTTATGTGCAATAAATGTGAGGGACCAAATTGTAATTAACTCTCTCAGGAGACAAGACCCCATGCTTCCGCAATGATGTAAGAAAGCGTTTGCAGCGAGATATTATTATAAGGCACAATCCATCAGTCCTCGAGGCTCACCTCAAGTCTCCCTCCCTTCCTCAGTCTCTCTGTTTCTCTCTCCGCGTCTATAGCGTTGACAGCATCTCTCATTTCTTTAGCGTCCGTAACATTTACTGTACAGAACCTGACCTGACTTTTAAGATAGTCAACCTGTTTTATAGAGATCATCTTCGAACTGAATAGAAGAATCCAGTAGAGAGAAATGAAGGGAGGCTTGGTCGTGGATGATGGGTTTATCTACGAAGAGGAGAAGCTTCTCACAGTGCTTAAAACTTGTCTGTTTTTCGCTAATGATGGCTTCACTGTCTATGATTGCAAAGGTGAGTTAGTGTTCCGAGTTGAATCTTATGGGCCTGACACTCGTGATCAGGGCGAAATCGTTCTCATGGACGCCCATGGCCGCTGTCTTCTCACTGTCAGAAGAAAGGTACTCCTTTCTCTCCCTGTATATATATCTGTATGAACGAGTTCGCTCAGCTGGTCATCTCTCTCTAGACTTTTTAACCGGCCTGATTAACTCGTGAGTTATTGAGCTTTACGGATCTGTTGAACATTTTCTATAACTTATTATTATTTTTTTTCAAAAAAAAAGAAAGGGGAATGCTTAATTGGATTGTGTTCGTTCAATTAATTAATGTGATTCTATTGGATTTTAGATGTAAAGGTAACGTCTGATTTCTAGCCTGACTGAGACCGAGTCAACCGGGTGAGTTAACCGCCTGAAAGAAATTAACTTGCCGGTCATAATTTTGTGTCTAATTCGCAAGTAAAAGGGGTGGCTTTGGAATAAAACTTACATAAAAAACACAATTTTCGTTACATACATGACGTATAGTTATCGTAATTATACTAGATAGTAATTGTGATCTGTCAATCAAATGGTACGCACAGAGGCCGAGCCTGCATCAAAGGTGGGAAGGGTACATAGGTGAAGGAACGGACGGTAACAGACCGATCTTTAGCGTGCGTAGATCATCCATAATGGGACGGTGTAGCGTGACGGTGGAAGTCTATGGGAATCCAGGTGCGGAGTACCAGATAGAAGGATCCTTCGCGAACAGATCTTGCAACATATTCAATGCAGAGAAGGAATCAATGGCTGAGATCAGACGCAAAGTAGATGCTTCCACCAATGTCCTGCTTGGCAAGGACGTCTTCTCCTTGTGCCTTAAGCCTGGTTTTGACGGGGCATTTGCTATGGGGCTGGTGTTGATTCTTGATCAGATTACCGGCGATGATGCCGTTGACGGGCACCCCACCCCCGACGAGTAGAAAGTCTTTGTAATCTCATCTACTGTATAACAAGTGGGCCCGTCTCTCTTTCATCAAGCATTAATGTAGAACTTTTTTACTCTATAGTTGATATCATATTATAACAACACTTGCTAATTTAAAACATTAAAAGAGACATGGGGATTCAGAACCAACTACTATATTGAGAAAAAGATTTCATGATATTTACGGACTTCCCCATCCCATCCAGGATATGACAATTGCAGCTTGTCTATAAAATAGCATATGATGCAAACAGGATGTTTACGGAGATTCGAAGTTTATAAATATATATTACTTTAAACGATTATAATAAGGCATGTTATGTAAAGTTTATAGTTCATATATGTCTAAATTTTCAAGTATGTAAAACAATAGTTTAGAGCAAACCTGGACACAAAACAAATATAATAATGCAATTCAAACTTATTATATTTAAATTAAAATAAGTGGAGGTATTAACTTGTTGAAACATTTTAAAATAATAAATATTCTTTTGTTATTGTTAATAATAAATTATTTATTTTTAAGATTTTATTGTTTATTATTTATATAACTAAGATGTTTGCATTATGACTTTCAAGATTCTAACAATAACACATTAGTTTTAAAAGCCCTTCTAACTAAAATCTTTGAACTTAAAAAGATAAAACTTGATTCTTTTAAAGAGAAAATTAAAATTAAAATTTGGAAGGAAAACCAAATCTTAAAATTAGAAGAAAACATTAAAATACATGGTTAAAAAGAGTATGTAAAAATAAAAAAATTTAAGTTAGAAACTCTTCTTTCATCCTCCTTTGTGTAGTGAATTTAAGAAGCTAAAAGGTTGAAAAATAATTCGTACCATTATTAACTATTAATTAGCCATGATGAATTAAAAATTAAATCTAGAAAAATCAATGGTTCTTTAAGATTAATTTTTCATTCACCTATAATTTGTTTAAATAATGTTAGTTAAAATAAATTTCCAACAATTCTCTATATGAATGGAAATTGTCTTGCCAATTTGAAAACAACTCAAAGATTTATTGAATATATTAATTTAATAGATTATTGTATCAAGATATGTAACTTTTGGCTTTAAACCTTTCTTGGTGAAATATTATCAAATTTACTCTGCTATGTAGCGAACATAATATTTTGAATTATTCATCATTTTGTGCAAATCAAGACAATAGTACTCATAAAATTCTCTACCTAGAGATTTTCTTTGGTTTTAATTGTTGTGTTTATGTTCGCTCTAAACAACTCTTTAATTTACGAGTGTTTTAGAGAATTCAATATTTATCGTAATTCTCAAATAAACAACCATATTTCTCACTTATATAGGTAATTTTTCATTAAAAGTATTATACTATATTTTTTTTGGTGTACCAAGACATAATTTTTTAAAAAAACTCAACTCACCCTTTATCACATTGCAACTAGTACCTATTTCATCTTAGAAATAAGCAGAAAATAATAATTTTATAGTGGTACCAAAAATATTATGTAACTCAGTTTTGCATTTGAACCTAGATCTTGAAATCTCTAATCAACTAGGTATGGTTATTATTATTACATTCTTTTATCTTTTAAAGTACTTAAGCTCATTCTCCTCAATGACACAAACTCTCTTAACAAATCTTTGGTTAACAAATCTGTAATATTTTCTTTTCACTTCATATAGTTAATGAAAATAATTTCATTTGACAGCAAGTGTGTAACAATATTATATCTACTACATATATGTCTAGACTTCCTATTATATAAATTATTTTATGCCTTTCTAATTGCTGATTTATTATCACAGTGGACACAAATAATTGATATTGGTTTTGAGATAACATGGAATATCCTTTAAGAACTTATGAATCCAATCATCTTCATCTCCAACTTTATCAAGAATAATAAACTCTGATTGCATTATTGATCTAGCGATATATATTTATTTGGAGGATTTCTATAACGCATATATTCCATCAAGTGTGAAGACATATCTACTTATGAATTTTAAATCTTTAGTGTCGGATATTCAATTAGCGTTACTATACTCTTATATTATTATTGGATAACTAGTATAGTGTAGTTTATAGTAAAAGGTATAACTTAAATACTTGAGTATCCTTTTTATTGCTTTTAATGACTCATAATTAGATTACTTGTAAATATACTTAATTTACTAACTAAATATGCAATATCAAGCTTTATGTTTATAACTTATATTAAACTTCTAATTATTCAAGAATATTCTTATTGATTCATTCCTTTTTCTTTATTCTTGGAAAGATATACATTTATATAAATTGGTGTGTTGACAATGCTTTGATTTGATTTCGTTCGCATGGGATTCTCTTTATCGGAATACACACACACATATGATAAATTTGTAATATTTAATATAAAATCTGTTTAATCATTAATTAACATAAAATGATGATCTTATAAATAATCTTACCTCTTTTGTTTTGTTTTGGTTTTTTTTTTCCACTTGAGTGAGGATGTAAAATTTTATGAACTTATAAATTTTAAGATATAAATTTTAATTTTTGAAAGAATAAAGGCAAAATGAGAAAATTATTAAACTACAAGAGGGTTGAGTTAATTTCTCCTTTAATTAAAAGAAAATAAAAAACATATGATACGTTATCTACATTTCTAAATTCTAAACATTAGAGAGATGGTAGAAAAATTAAGCCATACTTTTTTCAACTATAATTTTTTCAACTTATTTTAACCTTAAAACACCTAGGAAAAACTTAAGAATCTCAATTAACTTTTCAACTCAAATCACCCATAAATTGGTCCAAAAATAAGAATTAAACCAAAAACAATTCTTTCTCAACCCTATTCTATCTTTCCTAGCAAAGTTCAAAGGTAAAAAAAAAAAATATATCAAATGAACTCAATGACCCCAATAATAGCTTTTTTATTGCTAGAATGTTGACAACCAACAACTTTCTTTCTCCTCTCTCATTTTACGATGACTTTTTCTCTTCTATTTCCAACTCAAGGACTTAACATGAGCAAAATAAGGTTTTATCCTAAAATAATAGAAAAAAATCCAAGCTATACGGATATAAAAGAAAGTCAGCACAAAATGGGAACTAATAATAACTTTTTATGTGAATTTGTAATAGAACACCATGGGTTTGTTTATTTCTCGATTTGGTCTATAATCTTTTAATTGTATCTTAATGCTATAAATAAACATCATATCTCATTAAATTGACCTACAATTAAGCTCTAAAATCTTATCAAAGCCTTCATACTTTAAGGAAATACAAAGAATAAATACTATCAATTGAAAAAAAAACCAAAAACAAAATACAACAAAAAAGGTTTAATGATAAAATAAAAAATAATTGTCTTAATCCATAGTAAAATATGAGATGGTCTATAATGTGTGGGCGAACAATATTTTATGCACATTTTTAAATGACCATAAACCTTGAGAAAAAATCATATTACCTTCAATAGTTAGTTCATTAATTATGATTTTTTAAAATAGATAATTGTTAATAAATTATTCAGATGAGCAGTAAATCCCTTTAAAATGAATATTATTTTTCTCATACCAATTATTATTTTTATTTAAAACCTCTAAATTATTTAGGACAAAGAATATCATAAATAATTTATATTTTTGGATTATTATATTTAATGTTAGAAGATATTTTATAAGCTAATTAAGTTTGTTTTATAATTTATAAAATAATTCCATGTAATATTACTTGTAGTGAAATCAAGTCATGGAAGAATATTATTTTCATCGGACCATAAAAACATGAATTGAAATGGATAAAATTGTATAGTGAAAATAGCATCACTTAATGCTTTAAACAATTTTTAATATACCATTAAAAGTAACTTAATTTCATAGCATATCATGAAAGTTTAAATAACATCTTAATTAGCAAGTTTCATATGCTAGGATTTCTACCATATTAGTTATGTGATCTATGTTGAGTTGTAAGTCGGATAAATATTTTTTGCAAAAAACAAAAACTAAATATACAAGCTTTTCAAATTTATTTATTTTAAAAAAATCTAATCATAAATTAAAAAGCTGACAGAACTATTTGTTTTAATAAATACAAAAAACAAAGTGTTTAGATATCTATTCAACTTATCAAGTTGTAATTCAAATAATGTTTTTTCCAACACAAAAGAATTAATGTGCTGATGTTATTATCATATTTTTTATATCAAGTAAAAAAATATAATCATGAATCACAAAGTTAATGCTTACATATAATAAAATATAATAAAAATTATATGCATCAACAAAAATTTATAAGATTTCAAGTTAATTTTCAATGTAGTTGAAAAACAGAACAATGTTGCAATTGCCATAGTAAAAGATCATTTTTTTAATCTGTGTGGAATAAATCTAAAAAAAAATGTGTAAAGAAAAAATTGAAAACAAATTACAAAAGAATTAAAAAAAATGAACAAAAAGAATGGTATTAATAGGCCAAGTGTAAAGAAAAAAATATTTTTGTAAAAAAAAAGTGTAAAGTAAAAAAAGAACAAAAAAGTAAAAAACATTAAAAACATGAATTTAGCATACAAGTTATAATTTTTTAAGAAAACAAATACCACGTATGTGGGTTGCTCCAATGTGTTTTCTACATGAAAAATTAAAGCTGTCATTAGAAAAGCCTATGTGATTAGTATTTAAAAGTATATTTTTATCAAGGTTTTATATCATCATTTTGTACTTGAAGTATCAATAACTCCTTAACTAAAACATGTTTTATAATAACATATTTAATAATATAAGATACCTTTAATT